CTCTGACCTTTGAATATGCAACCCTAATTTTAGTTCTACTTAATCTTTGTTGAATTAAAATTCAAACTTTTTTAAAACTCTAAAGTAAAAACAATTTAAATTGGAGGTATTTGGGAAGAACTTGAGGCATTAATACAGAATTTTTTTCAGTTTTTACTATTTTTCCCAATCTTTCACGGACGTCTTATCCACACCTAATTCAACAGCAATTTTGATTAACAACTCACTTTTGTACAGTCTGTCCTAAGTATTTTTAATAGTTCTTATACAAATGATAACTTTCTTTTTACAGTATTTTTGATAACTCAAAACAGTGTCATTAACAGATTTGGGAACAAACAGAAGTGACTGGCTCTTAGTAAGCATACAGCTCAGTTTTTAGATCAGAAATGTAAGGGAGTAATAAAGAGTAGTTAACCAGGTATGCACAATAAGGTTTAACCTGGGCATTCAGTAATATATTTTATAAAAATAACAGAATATTATTAATCTAGTAAATCACTTAGTGGAGGAAATTTCAGAAAACTTATAGTGCACTTATTTTCTTCTATACCAAAATTTCAGTTATAGAGCTTACTCAGAGTCAGCTGTATCTGGCCACAGTAGTTTATAAACTTTGTTTCCCTTAAAACTAGGTGCTTTGAAATGTCTTATTGTCATCTTAGGTCTGTGACTATCCCCAAAGAATTTCATGCTAATTGGTTTTTTTAATTTGTTTTAATTTCAGTGGTAGGAATGGGATCCTGGTGCTTCCACATGACTCTGAAATATGAAATGCAGGTTAGTAATGACAAGATTGACTAAATGCTTATTTCTCTAAGCCAGAAGCACTTCAGATTTAAGAAAAACACATAAAAGAGATTTTTAATCTCTGGAGTTTATTTATTTAATTAATTTATTTATTTATTGGTACCAGGGATCGAACTCGGGTCCTTGAGCTTGTGCAGCAGGCGGCAAAACCACTGAGCTAAATCCCCGGCCCATCTGGAGTTTATTTTTAATTTCAAGTCAAAAGATCCACACTGATTAAGAAGCCAGATGAATTGTCTGTTTTTAAAAAACAAGCGAAAGCAGTACAGCTTTTTGATGAACTCTATGCTAGCATATACGATTTTAGAACAACATGGTATATGAGTCACATTGAAGACATCTTAAGATGACATAATCAGTTCACCAAAACAATATATTCTTATTCTTAGATGCCTGCATTCTTTCATGTCTCTATGGCATACATTTCAGTGGTTCCATCTCTCTAGCTGGAAAAGTTTTAGAAGTCTGAAAGGATTTTTAATTCCTGCCCTGTCTCTAAAGAGATTGTGTCTAATCTTCAACTTTTGACCTTTTGGGTTATCCTCACTAATTTAGAAACTTTTAGAACATCACTATACAGTAGAAATAAAATCTGAGGGATATATGTAATTTAAGATTTTCTGGTAGCAGCATTGAAAAAAGGTAAAGAGAAATGGGTGAAATTAAAACTTTCTCCTTTTTTTGAGGTACTAAGTATTGAAGCCAAGATCTCATGCACCCTCTACCTTTGAGCTACAGGGATGTAGCTTAGTGTGCAGGCCTTGTGTTCCATCCCCAGCCCCACATACAAAAACAAGTTTCAGCTGTGACACACACACCTGTAATCCCAGCTACTCTGGAGGCTGAAGCAGGAGGATTACAAATTTGAGGCAATTTAGCAATACCCTCATAAAAAAAAAGCCTAATTTTTTCATTCTTTGAGCAGTGTTGGTAGTTCTTACACAAGTATTGAGGATGAGATGTATGAAAAACAGTCCCCACTCTCCAGACAACATGGTACTGTCACTGAACAAGATCTAAGGAAGTCCTCCCAAAGAAAGATGGAGAACTTTGACTCAACCCATCTGCAGGGCAGGTTGTGGGTTTGCTGACTTACATCACAGAAAAAGAATTTTCAGGATGTGTCAGCAAGAGGCATGAAGAGCTCTGTTAGACAGAATTTATAGTACACACTCAAAGAAAATAGAGGCTAGCCCTCAAGAGAGAGGCACATTGTAGTCTGGAGCTGGGGGAATATTGTGTTTTGGGCAATGGAAATTTGTGGAATTTGTGAATCTATAGGAAGTTCGGGCTTAGTTTACCAAGAGAAAAGTGATGGCTGATACACAGGTAGAAAGATAATGGGTCATTTTACTGGTGAAAGGATGGCCCACTTTAGAAAGGCACAAGCAGGCCCCAGTCTGTTGTATTTTTAAAGATGAGTGATCTACAATGTTTCTTTGAAACCTCTGACTCTGTTTCTGTTAATGTCAGGTTTCTGCCCTTTACTTGTCAACTAAGCTAATTTATAGACTTGGAGTATCTCTACGGGATTTTGCATGTGATGGGCCTGGAAGAAAAAAACCATAAATAAGTCTCAGGAGTACAGACATGGGTAACTTTGGGTAGCTCTGACTGTGTCCTAAATTTGTAGTCTTCTTAAAAGTACAATTTTTAAACTGTGAATTTCCATGCCCCCTTCTACCCTGCCTCAGTACAAACTTTTTTTAACCCTTTTCATACTATCCATAGATCAAGCTCATAAATTGAATTGTTAGTTTTTTTGACCTGGCCTCTACCTTCTGGAATTATCTTCAAATACATATCCCACCTTTGCTTTTTTAATAGTCATAATTTTGTTAGTTATGGTTTTTAATAAGACTTTTATATTTCTACCACCCAGATTTTAAAATTTACTTTTCACATATACTTAGTTCAATTTAGTCCTTTAAACAAATAAGCTGCCAACATCCATACATTAGTTCTGAGCTACAGATTTTTAATTCTGGTAACCTGATTGATATTTCTACTTGTCTCTCAGGTACCTCAAACTCAAAATGCTGAAAATTGTTCTTACGAGTTTCTTTGTCTCAGAAAACTGTACAGTACCCACTGAATGTTTAGGCAAAAAAAAACCTGAGTCATTTTTTGCAGTTTTATCTCCCTTGCCTTTATATGAAATTGACAACAAATCTCTATTTTACTTCCTAAATATTTCTCCAACTTGTTTACTTATATCTCTTCTCTTCTGCTACCTTTATACGAGCAGCAACTTTTCTAGCCTGAACTCTTACAGTAACCTCTTAGCTAGTCCTCCCATATCTACTCCTTTCTCCTTCAGAATCCTCTCTACATGTACCTGATCTGGCATTGTATATTAACTATATTTTCTGCATTTTTAACAATCTAGCACCTGAAGCCTTGCTGACCTCCTTTGGCTACTCAGTTTTTAGAGATCACTAACAGTTTACCGTACCTAGACAGTGCCTTTCAAATACAAACTAACCAAACCAGAACTCATACTCCAAACCACTTCTTGGATTTGGCTCTGACACTCCAGGAGTCTGTATGCATGTGACGTAATCACTTGATCACTAGAGACAGCCTCTGTACCCCCAGAGCCTGCTGAAATTAGTCAAACTAGCCAGTCCTTATCTTGTTTACCCTCTCTTGTCTTGCCTTTCCTATGGAAATCACAAGACTCACTCTCCCTTTTCCCCTTGCTCCTTGTGCTCCCTGATGGACCCTGATGTGTCTCCTTCTTTTAAAGACTCAGTCACTTTCTTGTACCTGGGACAAAACCCAACATCCACACCCTAATGGAAAAGGGGTTTATTTTGTCCTACTGTCCACGGTCATCTGGCTCCAAGGCAAGAGTAATATGGCAGAACAGTGTGCTACAGAGGAAAGTTGCTCACGTGGCAGTCAGGAAGCAAAGAGCAAAGGGAGGAGTCAGGGAGGGAGATACACTTTTCCAGGTCTTGGCTTCTGTGGCTCCTCCTTTTGACCAGGCCCCTCCTCTTGACCAGGCCCCTCCTCCTAAAAGTACACTCAGCCCCTGAACTCTACTATAGCACCCCCATGATCTAATTAGGGGGACATTCTAGATCTAAATCATAACACTTTTCAGTGGCAATTATGTCTTCATCTATTGGTGACAAAATTGAATAATACTATATTTTAAAACATACCACCACTTCCTTGCTTAAACATTTTCAGTGGTATATTATTCTTACCCCCTTTTGTATTTTAGCATATGGTTACAAGACATAATAAATACACTTACCATTGGAAATAGATACACACACGTATTGCATCTTGATTATTTTTACTTCCCTTTCCTCTCTCCTCCTTCCCATTCTGTAAGTTGTCTTTTTACCCTGTTGGTTTCCTTTTCTGTGCAGAAGCTTTTTAACCTAATATGATCACTTATGTTGATTCATGGTGTCATGTCTTGTGCAATTGGGATTCTGTTCAGTAAGTCTTTGCGTATGCCTATGCCTTCAAGAGTTATACCTATTTTATCTATTTATGCAGCAGATTCAGTTTTTTTTGTTTCTATTTCACTGTTCAGGTCTTTGATTCATTTTTATTTGATTTTAATATAGTATACAGAGAGAGATATGGGTTTAGATTCAATCTTCTTTATGTAGATAGCCAGTTTCCCGCACCATTTGGTAAAGAGACGCTTTTTTTCTCCCCAGTGTATATTTTTGGCCCCTTTGTTAAATATCAGATGACTGAATGTACCTGGGGTTTCCTTCATTCTCGTTTCTGGTTTTGTGCCAGCACTATACTGTTTTTATCGTGGTAGCTTTATAGTATAACTTTAAATCTGGGATAGTAATGCCTCCTGCTTTGCTCTTGTTGCTGAAGATTGCATTTGCTATTCTGCATTTCTTCTGGGTTCCATATAAATTTTAGAATTTTTTTTCTAATTCTATGAAGAACTCTGTTGATATTTTGATTGGCAGTGCATTAAGTCTTTATTTCATTTTTGGTAATATGATCATTTTGACTATATTGGTTCTACCAATCCAGGAACTGGGGTTGTCTTTCCATTTTCTGATGTCTTCTTTGATCTCTTTTTTCAGAATACTATAGTTTTCATTATACAAGTCTTTCACTTCCTTGGTTAGGTTAATTGCTAGGATTTTTTTTAAGCTATTGTAATTGGGATTGTTTTCCTAATTTCTTTTTTAGTGGATTCATTGTTAGTATACAAGAATGCTTTTGATTTTTATGTATTGATTTTGTATCCTGCTACCATACCGTTCTTTTAATATAAAATTAAGAATGCCTTTTTGCTTCGGAAAATGTTTGCTGCTTATCTTTCCAGCTTCTTTTTGGTCCCTTCTCTTCCTCACTAATTAAGCTTCCAAGACATTGGGCTTTTTTTCAGTTATTTAAATTCTTTTTCTATCACAGCATCTTTGCACATGGTATTTCTGCTGCTTAAGCGTCTCATCTTCCCCCTAGTTCCTGTTTACCTTAATTCCATCTGTGTGTGTTTTTAGGTATCATTTTGTGTGTCACTCTTTCAATGAAGGTTTCCAGTGGAGGATTTCTAAGTTAAAATCATTATTTTGTAATTATGGTACTCTGTATTTATCCTTCATAGCACTTACCATTATTACAGTTAAATACTTATTTGTACAGTTAACTTTTTTAACTTTATTTTTTATTAGTTTATTAGTAGATGTGTGCAGTACATAGTATGGGAAGTTGCTGTGTGTACATAACATATGTTAATTCCTCTTTTCACCTTCTTTCCCGTACCTCTCTACCCTCTCCACATATCCCGTGATGTCTTTCCCCCTGCTAGATTACAAACTACCATGTGAAACAAGGACTGTTTTCTTTCCAGCACATAGCATAGTGTCAGGCACATAGAAGTGCTTAATATTTATTTGCTGAATGACTAAAAGAATGATAGTTATTTCAAGTGCCTTTCCTAAGCTATATGGATAGGACTGTGAGGTAATACAAGGAACACAGATCTTTTTATATACTACCCTCTAAATACAAGGTGTGATAAAAAAATACTGTTTAATTTTTGTTATTGTAGTAAAAGACATATTGCCATTAATCCCTCTCAAAATACTCTCGCTTACCTCAAATACCTTTATTCCATCATTCTTGCCACTTTCTGAAGCAGTTTTAGAAGTGCTTTTTCTTTAGTTACATTGTCATGGATATCTCCATGTCCTGAATTGATTCAAAACATTTGCCTTTCATGGCCATTTTGATTTTGAGGAGGAGCCAAAATTGACACAGTGCCAGATCCAGTGAATAAGGTGGATGAGAATACCAGTGTTTTAACCACAGTGTTTTCACAAGCCTACCTTCCTGTTGGATGGCACTCAACAACAGCATTTGGCATATTTTTTAATCACACCTTGTGAAAATACTCATGAAAGATGACTTCCAGGACTGCTTCAGAAAGTAGCAAGAATGATGAAATAAGTGTGTTCAAAGTGAGGGGGAGTATTTTGAGGAAGACTAATGGCAATGTGTCTTTTACTGTAATAAATTTTTTTAATTTAAATTTTAGTATATATTTTGATCACCTTTATATATGGGTAGTAGAAGATCCACAAAAATGGGCCCTTTAGGTATCTCAGTAAATTATGGAAATGCTGGATAGCTCTACTAATATTTGCTAACATATGAAAACTGAAATAAAGAAGACAAAAATACAAAAGGTATTTAAGTAAAGCCAGTAGATTCTGTTCCAGTACTTGGGTAAATGCTGCATATCTAGTGGTAGATTTAGCTCCAGCATTTTTTTAACATCTAAAGGTGATTCAAGTAAAAAGCTTTGAAGGTAATATAACATAGAGATGTGCTGTAGAATCCATTCAAAATCTGACTGCAACTTAGTACCTCTCTGATCGTAGACAAGCTACTTAAATTAACTAAACCTCACTGTTCATTTTGGAATGAAAATGATAACATCTTAGAATTATGAAAATTAAGTGATATAATAACTGTAAAGCATTTGACCATAAGACCTTACACAAATGCTACTATTTTCACTATTCTAATAATTTACCAGCATACATCATTCACTTTGCATAAGCTCTTTTCTTACTTCCCAGAATGCTTTTTTCCACTATTTCATTTCCAGACATTTCTTTACTGATTTTTCTGTACTCCTTTTGTTGCTGTCATTACTCTATCTGATCACGTTTTCCATTCTCTACCTTTTTAACCTGTGAATTCCTTGAGGACAGTTACTGTATCTTATTTATCATTGTATCCTCAGCTCCTAACACATTGCATAGTAGACATATTATATAAAGAATTAATTGTGTATATAGTGATAAATAAACTTAATAAGATCAACTTAAAGATTAGAAATAATAGGCCAGGCATGGTAATACATACCTGTAATCCCAGCACTTGGGAGCCTGAGGCAGGAGGACAGCCATGAGTTTCAGGTTTGCCTGGGCTAAATAGTGAGCTCAAGGCCAACCTGAACCACATAGTGAGAACTTGTTTCAAAAAAAAAGACTAGAAATAACCAATCTTTGATACCTACATTAATATCCAGAGTGCAATTTAATAAATAATGGCCATAATTACTACTATTCTGCTAATAATAATAATAATATTACTTTTTAAAGACATACAGTTACTTGAATTAATAAAATTATTTCCCTGGCCTTGAATACATCTTTTTATTTATGTTAGTGAATATTTTATCTATTTAAGGTGTTATAGGATGAAAAGAAATACAAAAGAATACAATAAGACCCAGAAACATGTAGATAGGGGACATTATTCTTTCCTAGAAATGTAGTATCATAGTTTGTGATATTCAATGATGTGAACTGCACAAGGCTATCTTATGTGAATAGCAAGTTGGGTGTGCTACTTAGATGTGTACATTAGGATGGATGGATGATCTGTTCAAAAACAACAAACTGTACATACTCAGGGAGTAAATTAAATGATGGTAAATATAAAGAAAAACAAAAGGGGCTGGGTATGCAGTTTAGTGATGCTGCGCCTGCCTGGCAAGCGCAAGGTCCTGAGTTTGATCCCTAGTAACCAAAAAAAATAGAAAGAAAAACAAGAGATGACTAATCTTTTTGGGAGGTGAGGGAAGGCTGGGGATGGAGCATGGGCTTTTACATGTTAACCATATGCACTACCAGAGCTACATCCCAAACCCAAGAGAAGGTGATCTTAATCATTCTGATATTTTATTTTGATTTGTATTATAATTGCAGCTTCATCATGTTCAACTCTATTATGTCTTTGTTTCATATAGCTATTGGATGAACTCCCAATGATTTACAGCTGTTGCATTTTTGTGTACTGCATGTAAGTATTAACATTTAAATTTCATTTATTTGATATATTTTAAATTCCTATATGCCTCATAGGAAATTAACAAATGTAACCTAGTTATATTATAAGAGATTGCAATAATGAAAATTGTAAATTTTATATCAGTAAAGGACATTTCTGAGAAATTACAATGTATATTAACTTACTTTAAAAAAAACAATGTATATTAACTTCTGTGATTTCAAAATCCTGCGACTGATTTAGGTAGGATCCTAATTTGATTTAAATTGCACAATTTGCCTTTCCTTAAGTAAAGAATATATGCAGATTTAAATATTTTATTTATTATGCCATAAAAATGTTAATTGAAGGTGAAATGCACTTCTAATGTATGGTGATTATGTCATTTTAATCTTCTGTCTGTTTCACAGTTATGTTAAATAGATATCTGTGTCCTTTCAATTCTCTTTATTCTGAAGCATAATAAATGCTTCCAAAACTATGCTTATTTTGATTAGCTGTTCACAAACATAAAGGAGAACAACGAAAAGCTTACAAACCATTACCAATCCAAAATTGCCTTTCAGCTCATATTTCAGTATCAAGTTAATTTGCCAGGGGAAAATAATCAATCCTGAAAAATTAAAGTGATTAAGATAAGAATGCTAATAAGTGCTGATATTTATCTGTTATGCTAGACAGTATACCATACTGTATTAGTCACTTTCGCCTTGCTGGAACAAAATACCTGACACCTGAAACTTAAAGGAGAGGTTTGTTTTGGCTCACGTTTCAGAAGATTCAGTCTATGGTCATCTGGCTCCAAGGTAGAAATGGCATCGCAAAGGAAAGCTGCTCAACCCATGGCAGCCAGGAAGCAGAGAGAGAAGGCAGGAACTGAGAAAAAATATACCCTTTCAGATCACGCCCCCAGTGATCCACCTCTTCTGACTAGGCCCCACCTCTAAACAGCACAGTCAGCTTTGAACTCATCAGTGGACTAATCCACTGATGATTATAGCACCCACATAATACAACCACCTTCCAAAAGTCCCATATCTGAATATATAAGACTTTGAGGGAACATTTTAGATCCAGACCTTAATATCTCTAATTCTCAGCAATTGTGCAAATGGGTTTGTCCTCATTTTATAAACAATAAAGTGAAGCAAATAGATATTGAGTACCTTTTGAAAGCATGTAAACAAAACTTGATTAAGAAGCATACTAGCCAGGCCACTATCAGGTAAACAGTCTCTAAAGGACACTAAAATATCCCTGGAAATATACCATGATTGAGAAAACTACAATAGTCAAAATCTCTCTCTGGGAGAGGTTGGAAAAACGTTTTGATTGGCACAGAAGAATGCAGTGGAAGTGTGGAAGTGGGACCCTTCCTTAGTGCATGTTCAAATAACAACATGTAATTATTAACTGTCTTCTAACAGTGAAGGAATTTACCTTCGTCTCTTTAGTTTTGCTGAATTAAGCTATGCAAGTTTGGGCTCCACCTAATTCCTGGGAACATTTAAAAGTGATCACCCTGCAGCATTCAGTCTCTCTAAATGTTAAATATGTAAAGTATATGGAAGTCATCTCTCATAAGTATCTTTACAAGGTGTGATCAAAAATATGGCAAATGCTGCTGCTGAATGCCATCCAACAGAAAGGCAGCCTCATAAAAACATTGTGGTACTCTTATCCACCTTCTTCATTGGATCTCATACCATGTGACTTCTGACTCTTCCCCAAAATCAAAATGACTGTGAAAGGTAAAAGTTTTCAGTCCATTCAGGACATGAAGGAAACCATGACAGCACTACTAAAGGCATGAGAGAGGATTCTAGAACTGCTTCAGAAAGTGGCAAGAATGATGGAATAAGTGTGTTCAAAGCAATAGGGACTGTTTTGAAGAGGATTAATGGCAATGTGTCTTTTACTGTAATAATTTTTTTAATTTAAGCATTCACTGTATTTTTCTGTCATACCTCAAATAATAATGTCAGCAAACTCTTAGGGACAGTAACAGTTTTACTTAGAAAGTAAGGATATTTATCTCATTGTCTAATTCTGATACTAACTGCATGACCCTGATAAGTCACTTAATCTTTTTTTTTTTCATTTTTAAAAATGGATATCATAGTGTCATTGTATGAGGTCCAAGGAGGTCTCTCTAAAGAGGAATTGTTGATCTTGACTCAGCCCAGACAAGTTATTTGCTTACTATCCCAGAAAGGAATTTTAGGATGCGTCAGTAAAAGACACAAGTTGATTTATTAGGCAGAGTTGGAAAATAAGAGAAAATGAAGAAGGAACTTTGCCCTAAGGAGATGAAGGAGGCACAACTGTGATTGAGAAGATCAGACTGGCCTGTCAACAAAGGGAAGGGACCAGCTTTTGTGGAGTTATTGTGTGGGGTAGGTTTGGCTGATCATTATGTCAGTTTTGGTTTTGCAAAATGGCTCCATAGAAGTGCTTATCACTGGAGAAGACACTCTAGTCTCCATGAGATGACTGGTTCTGCTTGGAGTAGTCTCAGTTTTGCCAAGGTTTTACTGGAATTCAAGGTGACCATAGGTTTAGGGCAATGACTAGAGACTTTTGGCACCCACTGATAGTTAATGCCCCTGTAAATCTCTTACTTTAATGTCTTCGATCTTGAAAGCAGATGAGATATGTTATATAAATACCTCATATTGCCATTGTGTAGACAGACATTCCCTAAATAATTAATGTGCCTATATGCAGACCTGAGCAGTAATCTGACCCAAAGGTTTAAGGTAATAAAGGAGGCAAATACATAATAAAGGCAATGATACCAAACTTTATGCAACTCTTAATTACCCATTGGGCATCTGTAGGCCTAAGTGAACAGTAACTGCTTTTAATAAAAGCAGTTTTTAAGACCCTTTCTGCCTCAGAAGAAAACACAAATTAAGCTTTTAATAAGTAGCAAGCAGGGTAAGGCTGGGGAGTTAGTTTGGCCTCTCTCTTTCTGTGATGATTCACATGTTTTATTTTCCAATCTAGTTTATTCTTGAAGGCAATATGGAGAGGGCATCGTAGCTTTAATGATATATCCGGGTTTTGAGGTCCATAAGTTGTTTGGGAGAGTAAGGGGATAGAGTAAAGTCATACCATACTTTTACTAGGTAACAGGTTTTGAGTTTGGGCCCAGGAGTGTACCTCCCCATTGTTCTCATTAATATGCATTTCCTTAAGGACTAATGATATTATTCATCTTTTCATGTGTTAACTGCCTATTTCTGTGTCTTATGTTTTTGGTTTGTTTTGTTTTGTTTTGGTACCAGGGACAGTGCTACTGAGCTAAATCCCTGGCCCAATGTGTTTTATGTTAGAAAAGATCTGTTCGTTCCACTGCCTGCCTTGCAAGCACAAGGTCCCAAGTTCAATCCCTAGTGCCAAAAAAAAAAAAAAAAGAAAGATCCGTTCACATCTTTTGCCTTTTTTTTAAAAGAAATTAAATTGCTTTCTTGTGCAAGTTCTTTATGTTTTGGGCTCAAGTCCTGTCCAATACCAGACATTTATATTTTAAATTGTTTTCTCAGTCTGTGACTTTTTTCATGGTATTGGGGATTGAACCCAGGGAACACTGAGCTACATCCCTAGCCTTTTTTTTATTTTGAAACAAGGTCTTGCTAAGTTACCTAAGCTAACCTCAAACTTGAGATCCTCCTGCCTTACCCTCCCAGAGTGCTGGAATTGCAGATGTGAGCCACTAGGCCCTACTTGGCACTTTTTTTCTCTAGTCTGTTGATCTCCATGTGTTTCCTCATGTAGTTACCTATTGTCTTGTTATTGTATCTTTATTATAAATCTTAAAGACAGAGTAAATCCTCCAATTTTGTTCTTTTTAAATATAGCTTTGGAAATTGTATGTCCTATGCATTTTTACATAGATTTTAGAATCATCTCATCAATTTCTACCAAAAAAGTCAGCGGGAATATTGATTGTGATTATACTGATTTTATAGACCAATTAGAGCACAATTGATATCTTAACAATTTTTAAGTCTTCCAAACCATGAATGTGGCATAATTTTCCATTTATTTAGGTTTTCTTTAATTAACTCAGTGATGTTTATAGTTTTCAATGCATAGATGTTCTGCATACTTTGTTAAATTCAACCCTAACTTTTCCATGATTTGGGGTACTATTTTAAATGGTATTGCATTTTGGAGGTAGGAGGATAGCTCATGCCTAGCATCCACAAAGCCCCCAGTTCAATAACTAGCACTGGGGGGAAAAGTTTTAAAGCTTTGTTTTCTGGTTGTTCATTGTTAGCACTTAGAAAATACAGTTGATTTTTGAGTATTCACTTTTTTATTCCATGTCCTTGCTAATTTTACATAATTGATTTTTCTGTTGATTCATTAGGATATTCTTTGGACAGATCAAGTACACAAAGTAGTCTAGACTTCTAACCATAATTAAACCTGCCTTATTGAAATAGATACATACATATATAGATGTATCGATCGATATAGATAGATTTGTTCATTTGTGAAACATGTAAAAGTCCTTGGTGTTAGGTATGATCCTGAACTCTGTAGAAAAAAAGAATCAAAGAACTTACTAAGTAAGGGGACAGACTAAAAAGTGGCTATATATAATAAAGTAGGATTACCCCAGTAAGAAATACAAGCCAGGCCTACTAAAGACCTTTGTTTTCTTAACAAATAACCTGCTTTGAGGACATTTGAAATGGTAAGCAGAAATCTCTAAACTACAGACAGAATGAAAAGGATAACTATAATTCATAAATATCACACCTAATTTTCCCATCCCCTTTCAAGCTATAAACTCATAACTTGAAAATAAAAACCTATCCCACCCAACATTTTCATCATATTCTAAGTTCATAAAGTCACAGAATTTAAAAGTAAAAGGGAATTTTTAAATTATTTCAACAAAGTTCCTTACAGATAAGGAAATAAAAGGTATGTCCAATTCCTACAACCAGTTAATAAACTGAAAGAACACTCCTGTTGCCTATACCAAGACACAGTCCTCACAAGTTAGATACTTACAGATGGCCAGTTTTTTATTCATATTTTCTTACTTACTATCTCTGGTACATCAGACACTATCCTAAAGATTAGATAAATGAAAAAATAGTAAGATTGTATGCCTGCACAAAAAAAATTTCCAATCTAGTTGAGACAGTTAAGAAAAGAGATAATTATAACAGTTATTTTTAAAAGTACTTTTATTCCCCTTCTAGATATCTTCCTGAAAGTGTTAAGGACATCATATTACATTGTTACATGTATAACTATGTTCATAGCAGCACAGTTCACAATAGCTAAATCTAGGAAGCAGCCTACATGTTCAACAACAGTTTAAGGGATAAAGAAAATATGGTATTTACATAGAACAGAGTGCTACTCTGCCATAGAGAATAAACTTGAGTCATTTGTAGGACAATGGATTCACCTTGAGACCATGATGTTAAGTGAAATAAGTCAGACACACGAGCTTAAATATTGCATGGCTTCTCTTATATGAGAAACCCAAATATAAATAAAAACCAAAATAAAAGATAGATAATAGGAAAAAATGATACAAATGGTCTTGATAATGATAATAAGATTATAATATAGTATTCATTTTAACAATATTTCGGTCAACAGTGAACCGTATATACTATGATTATCCCATAAGATTATAATCAAACTGAAAAATTCCTGTCATCTAGGGATTTCATAGCCATGGTAATGTTGTAGCATAACACATTACTCAAGTTTTTGTGGTGATGCTGATGTAGACAGACCTATTGTGCTGCCAGTCATGTAAATGTATAGCAATACGGTTATGTATAGCAATACGGTTATGTATAGTACATAATGCTTGATAATGACAATAAACAGTTATGGTAGTGGTTTATATAAAAAAATAAAACCAGCTGCTTATAAAAAACAAATATATTTAGTGATAATTAGTTGCAAGATACAGAAACTTACTCAAGTTAGCTTGAGTTAAAAGAGATTTGTTTTTTGTAAGGACATGAGAAAATTATATGAAACCCAATAGCAGAAAGTACACCTCAGTAGAACTGGGAAGGCAGCTTCTTCCTCCCTCCCTCTTTTCTCTATTACATTCTCCCCATTTCAAGTATTTGTATCTATTTTATTCTTCCCTCTTTGCTGATTACTTATATGATCATTCATCTACTTGATTCTTCAGTTTGGTTGCCTCCTAATATCAACCTCAGACCTTGAGTCCATCTGATTCATAATTCTATACTTAATTGATTTATTCAATGGTTCTTGAACTCCAAACTTTCATAAGAAAGCCTCTCATTATCCCAGCTTAAGTGTCTACTGCTCCCTCCAAATTCTTGAAGGGTCTTAAGATAAGATTATCTAAGATAAGAACATGAATGGGAAGAAATGATAGGTATCACTAGCTTGCAGCATCATGTGAGCAAATGATAAAGCAGCATTCTATTTATGTTCCTAGTTATATATTCTAAAGAAAGTTTCTTTCTCCCTTTTTTAAAGGTTTGAATGCTTCAAGACAAAGAACTCAGTAAACTACCATCTGCTTTTTACCTTAGTTCTATTCAGTTTAATAGTAACCACAGTAAGTCATATTTTGTCTATAACAGATTAAGCATGTGAATTTGCCATTTATGGAATTTGGCACATTTTGCCTCCTATATTTGCTTCAAGCTGTTCAAATTGAATTGTTTCTATGTACAACTGGAATATCTTATTTTTTAGGGATTGTTCCTTTTCAAGAGTTATTTTCTCTGCAGTTGAAATAATTTTTTTCAAGGAGATAAGGTCAAAAAGTAAATATTTAGTAGCAGTGGAAAAAACTAACTTTTCTCATGGATGTGCATGTTACCTCCTATTTGTTAAAAGCAAGAGATTGACTTTGCTCCATTGGGCTTAGTGTGACTATTTTAATGGTTAATCTTTTCCTAATAATTTGAGGTAGCCAGTTCTAGTGCTTTTTCCTTCAAATGAATTGCATTTTTGTATTAAGAAAATATTCATTTCAACAAACATTTATCAAAAACTTACATATCAGGCACCAGAAATGCAAAGGTGACTAAAAAGCATTTGCTATCCATGAGGAATTCATTCTGTTAGAAAAGTTAGACATAAACAAAGAATTACATCAAAAGATCATTGCAAGGGCCAGGGATTTAGCTCAGTGGTGCCACTGCCTGCCTCGCAAGCGCAAGGTCCTGAGTGTGATCCCCAGTACCAAGAAAAAAAAAAAAAAGATCATTGCAGTAGTAGAAGTAAAAGCTATATGGTGATGAGATAATGAAGTGTCAATCAAGACTGCTTGAGCATACATGATATTTCATAAATGTGTAATTTAAGTTTTTATCAGTGTAATTTTTTAATTTTTAATTTTATTTATTTATATATTTTTTTGGTACCAGGGATCGAACTCGGGTCCTTGGGCTTGTGAGGCAGGCAACGGAACCACTGAGCTAAATCCTCGGGCCCAGTGTAATTTTTTAAAAAAAATTCAAAGAAAGCTTCAGAAAGAAAATACTTTAGTGAGATTTTAATTGATGATTAAGAGTTCATCAGGCCCCTGAAACTTTTAAATAGTCATTTATATGTTCAGAGCCATAAAACCTTAACTACATACTGGTTAATAATGAAAGAATCCTGAAACTTCAGAGGAGAAGTCTTGTAGCCCTATTTTTTAAAGAGAATAAAGTCTAGAGAGTGTTAGTGACTTGTCTTGCCAGCCAAGTTTATAAAGAGAAGCAGTGGCAAAGTCAAGACTTACCCCCCTTTGTAAAGTAAGAGATAATATAGTTAGAAACAGGCTTTGGAATCAATCAGATAGGAGTTTGTGTCTTACACTGTTACTTAGTAACTGAAACCTTGGGCAAATTACTTACCTGTAAAATGAAGATAATAATAGTATACATTTCATATTAGTTGTGAAAATTAATACTAGGTATATAGTAAGGACTCATAATTCTTTGTCTTAAGAAAAAAGTATCTTTAAGAGGCATGCCCCCCAAAATTAGTATTTTGTAATAAGAAATTCAGAGATTAAAAGCATTGTCTTATACTGAGTTTACTGAGTTTCAAGTTAGAATATATTGTCTCAGATGCATCATATTTTTAAAGCCCTATAGCTACTTAAAGGAAATAATCTGTACAAGAAACTTAGTACAGAAATAAACTTCGTAACCAAAAGTTAAAATTATAGAAAATTTTATTAGATCACTATATTAAATGGAATGTAGAGTTATCTAAGCCCATTCCTTGCTATCAAAGACATTGTTTTGTAGAGGAGAGATATGGACGGTGATGGTAGGAAAGAAAGTGAATGCTTCTAGTGTACAGAGAAAGGATCAGAAAAGGCTTCACGAAAGAGATATACTTAAGTTGAATCTTAAAATAGGAGTATTTCCTGGTGGGGGAGGATTTCTGAGCCAAGTAAAGAGCAGCGTGTTTAAAGATATAGAAGCATGAAACTTAATTGTCCACATGACACTGAAGCATAAAACCAGGGATTGTGTACGTGAGATGCATCTAGGTAAATAACTGAAATGCATCTGTGTGCTAGACATTTTCATGTATTTTAGCTTATCATTCCTCACCACTATTATTCTACATTATCTAGACAAGGAAAAATGAATCTTTTGCTCAATGCATTTAAGTGGTGTGTTTGAAAATTGGCTTCTTAAAAAAAAAAAAGAAAAAGAAAATTGGCTTCTTAACTCTAACCCCAGTGTTCTTGCTACTGTAGAACAGATCTGGGACAGAGACTGTCAACATCTTCAGCCCTCATTAGTAGTATCCATGCCTCCTGTCCTTCTTTGATAGTGATACAGAAGCCAAAGAGGCCAAAGTAACCCACAACAGATTTGAAATATTTTATTTACCATGGCAAGACTAACACTGCATAAGAGCCACCTGCGAGTACTAGCCGTCCTGTGGCATGCCACCTAATCTGATTAGTTTTTATGTGGCTGGAACAGGAGAGGTTTAGAATTATGAGTGGAACAGGAGAGGTTTAGAATTTCCAGAGTAGTTGGAATACACTTCCTCAATAATAGATTTCATTCACATTTGTTTCTTCTAATATCTTACAGGTTTATCTTAAGGTAAAAGAGCCTGTGTTCCATCAGGTAATTTTTTTTAAATTACCATCCATTTATTTGTCTTTACATGATTGCTTTATGTTTTCCTTTTCAGGAAATTATATGCACATATGATTTTTTTTTTTTTT